CGATCCTGGAGAGGATCACAGAATGAGTGTCCACATTTTAAACCCCCAAAACAAGAATGTGTCTTTATTAACCAATGAATTAATTTAGGTGAAAGTCATTCCAGTCATGTAAAGTAATAAGAACATACGTGTTACGTATTATAAATGTAATAATTTTTATTATTAGAATATATGAAATATGTGAATTAGAACTCTCCTGAAATAATCAAAAATTGTGGTAAATATTGTCATAAGAAATGACCCTAGTAAGACTGTAAATTGTGAGAGAAAAAATAAGATCAATTCAAATCTTTTTTTCTACATATTACCCTGGATGGGCAATATGTTTTATTTTCCTAAATTCTGTTTTATACAAACTTCCTTTATAGCTCATCTTACAGTTCAGTAAATCCTTTTTTCTTTATTTTTTTCTGTCTTCCTTATCAATATGTTAATATTCAAAGAAGTTTTACTTTGCTGCACTAGTGGGATAGGATGCAAATATTTGCCCTTGTCTGCTGGAACATAATGTAGTGAGGGAGACTTGTATGTGCTTGAGACACGCAACTAAGCTGGATCGTGGTCTAATACATCTAACAACATGCTTATTGGAATGGTGTTTCTTTTCTTGTTATTCTTTTTACTTTTTACCCTTTTGGAGTCCTGCATACTGTCACTTAAATATTTATTTTGATTCTGTCCTCTCATCAGCTACTCTACTCCTTCCAAGCTCGATATTTACAGGGTAGGAGGAGGTGTGTATTGAAAAGGGAAAATAAAGACCAAAGTCTCAAACCTGTAGAGCCAAAAAGAATCTGTGGTTAAAACTCTACCTATGTACAAAAGGAATATTAAGCTGTGCAAATGCTGCTGTGGTGGCCTCATGATGTGGTTGTTTCTGGTAGAAGAACTGAGCCCAGCTGAGGGTTTGTGTACAGGCTGCAGGTGCCTGGGGAGCACTGTGACTCCACAGCACAGAAATAAATGCCTGAGTCTGTGGTCTGGGAAGAGGAAATGTGCAATAAGCTGTAGCGTTCCGTAGTGACAGTCGTGGCGCTTAAATCTTCCATTCTGTTTTGTCCCTGAGGAGATGTAAAACAGGTTGATGAGCTGTCCCCAAGGTTTTGGTGGAACCACTGCAAATTGTTCACAGTGGCAGAAAATTGCACGCAGCGTGGGAATTGGCTCCCTCCTGGAGAATCAGGTCTGGAGGACTCTGCTCCACTTGTATTCCTCTCACACCTGGTCAGAAATGGAGAAAAAGTCATAGGTGATGGGCAGCTTAACATCTGAAGAACCCTGAAAATGCCCCCACAGATTTTATGAATAGGAAGACTGCGAGACTTAATAACTCCTTTCCCTTCCCTCCCTTCAACAAGGCTGCAGCTGCTAAATCCTGTCAGATTCCCACCTTGGACAGCCCCAACTCACAGCAAACCTGGGCACTCAAGAGCCCCAGCAGAGCTCCCAATATCCTCTTTATGATGCTTTGCCTTCTTGCTCCGGACATTTTCACCACAAGATATATTTAACTAAACCTTGAGGAGGTGGGTGTCATGACTTGGTCCTGGAACTGTTGCTGCTCCTGCAACCAATCAACTTCACTCAACAAAGCCTGCTCACGCCCAGATGCTACTGAGTTTTTAAACAGCGTTCTGTGACAGGAAGCCCCATTCGCCGGCTTAAACCTGGCTGAGAACCGGGGTGGAAAGGGGTGAAGTGAAAGGAAAAAAGAAAGGTCATTATTCCATAACCTGAGGGATGTTTTCTAATAATTCTGGATGTAGTAAAGAATGTCAAAGATCCTGTGAGAAGGAAATGGAGGGGCCTCCTCGGGACGACAACGTGCCTCAACTGTAATACTAATTCGAGCCTGGAGAGGATCACAGAATGAGCGTCCACATTTTGAACCCCCAAAACGAGAATGTGTTCTGACAAAAGAGTCTTTATTAACCAATGAATTAATTTAGATGAAAGTCCATCAAGCCATGTAAAGTAATAAGAACATACATGTTACGTATTATAAATGTAATAATTTTTACTATTAGAATATATGAAATATGTGGATTAACACTCTCCTGAAATAATCAAGAATTGTGGTAAATATTGTTATAAGAAATGACCTTCGTAAGACTAAATTGTGAGAGAAAAAATAAGATCAATTCAAATACTTTTTTCTACATATTACCCTGGATGGGCAGCATGTTTTATTTTCCTAATTCCTGTTTTATACAAACTTCCTTTATAGCTCATCTTACAGTCCAGTAAATCCTTTTTTCTTTATTTTTTTCTGTCT